AGTACGGTATTATACCGTCGGTATACCTCATGGCAGCGATGGGTGATGCAGATCTGGATTTTCTTCTGACGCGGACACCGTTATCACACGAACCACTGCGTTCGCGTTGAATGCGGCTGCGCTGTTCTTGGTATCACGCAACGACGATGTTGTCCCCGCTCCCTGGTGAGCCCGAAGCCTTGCTGAGATCTCTCGTCGAAGTCTGCCGGAAAAAAAGTGCAGGATGGACCGCCTCCAGAATGTCTACCAGGTCGAATTTTGTCTCGAACGAGACTGAACGAAACTCGAATGTTCCCTCGATTTCCTCTCGGATAACAGCTTGGTCGTGGGCTGGTGGAATCGGAAACCGGATCGCCACTGGAAGCAAATCGCAGGGCTATGTAAGAATGCGATCAAGATAGTCACTGTCCACAGATCAAAATGGCCCAATATCGACGGTAAGTTATAGTCGATAATACCGACGATACTATCGTGCCGCTTAGCGGAGATTCGAGGCATACAGGAAAATTGACATGACATGGTGCTGAGCCCGGAGATTTTAGTTCTGATACGTGAGCATGTACTGCGTAGCCTTGACACACAGTTTGTCCTCTGAATTGGCTATTCTGGTGTAGATATGTATCTCGGGTCGAGCTAGTGGAGATCAATTCACAAAACTCGCGCTCGACTGAGTGCATTTCTGGCACGGTCGATGAAGATGGTTCGTGACAGGCGCACGCACCTTGTAACCACGAATATTGTTTTTCTCCTTCAGGGAGACTGACAGGGGGACTCCCTGTCAGTCGTCATTGACCGCGAGTAAAATACTCTTCTTCTCAGGATGCGGCATTCGGGTTCCGAATGTCCGAGAGTACTCTCGGAATATCCCTAATTTCGGAATATTCTGAGGCTAATGTCAGTCCTCTTGATCTCCTCTACCTTCAGGGTACTTGTGCTTGTCTAACGCCATCAAGTAGCGATCTGCCACAATATTATGACTTCGTTGGTGTATGCCTCTTACTACACTCTGATGAGCGTCCAACCTCTAAGTACATTACGACGTTTGTTTATCTATTGCCCAAGAGGCTCTCTATCTAGACGAGGATTGTGGAGATTCTCAGGCCTCCAATGGAGGTCTCGATGGCGCTTGGAAGGAACCTATCGTTTCCACTAGTTTCACCTTCTAAACTGTCCCTTACGTGCTCGATGTGGATCCTTCGGATGGCCCTCTTCCACCTGGAGCCCATGAGGAGGTCCGAGTGGGATCACCAGTGTCAGCCCATGGGTGTGTCTAGGTTCTGCTCCCTCGTTGCTTGGGGAACGTCGTTTACCTGAGGTGAATTACCTCCTATCTGAAGGGCTTGGAATATCCGAGACAGAGCGTATAGTGCCACTATAATAGTGGTGGCTGAACACCCGTCCTAGGACGAAGTCCTGATCTATGGACCTTGGCCATTGGTGTCAATGTTGAGGACTATACGAGGGTTGTGGATAGGACACAATGCATCCGTTTTCTCTATGGATGACCCAAATTGGCTCACCCAATTTACAAACTCTACAGCACCGCTATTGATAACAACTATTCTCATCACCCGTCACATTACCACACTGAACGTCTCGGTATTTGGTTCCAATATTGTGTCGACTGTTTCCACTACGGTTAAGCGTCCGTCGCTATGATACGTCGACCAGCAGCCTCTCGCGGCGTCCATCGATCGAGCCCAATCGGCGTTATAAAGGTGAGGTGCAAACACCTGCGTTTTCATGAGGGAAATATTCATCACGCCATCTACTTATCCCTGCCTGTCTCCACTCCATAGTATAGTAAGGCTGTTCATGTATACGCTTTGGACTCGTTTTCTTTCACATTGAACTTCCTCTTGCCAGGCCCCTGGTTCCAACAAGAATACCCCTCCCCGAGG